GGCTCTCATTCCCAAAGTTTTGATAAGTCCTTTCTTTCACTCCAAAAGCACCTCACCCAACCCCCCGTCCCAGTGTCATCCACTAACTGTGTAGCTGTTAATAAAAAATACATTTCTGTTCATTACTGTTTCCGTCATGTTGTTTTAGAGGAGAGTGTGATTGAAGAGGGGAAAGGGGGTTGGTAATTGGAGAGGACAGTCACCTTTACCAGGGTACAGACATGGGGGCAGGTTCAGCAGCAGTTCACACACACATTGCAGTCACTAGGCACCCTGGTCAGTCTGGGAGGTGGTTTTCCTGTTCTGTGTGGGGGGGCTATGTGAGTTTGTGGCAGGGGATGGCGGTTACAGATCTTATGCAGTGGTCCTTAGCTTGGATGACAGAGCCATGCAGCGGGGGATCTGTAACCGTCCTCCCCCGCCACAAAGTCACATAGCGCCCACACACAGAGTTCCGAAAAGGAGGGGTGGCAGGCTCCGTTGAAACAACCAGTCCACCACTGCGGACCACTCTAGGAGCAGGAGCCTGTCATTCCTCGAGTTTAGAAGCGTCCTTTCCATCACTACACCCGCTCCCCACCACAGTCTGTGTCCCAGTTTCAACCGTTTACCACAAAACCCTTAATAAAGAAAATGGTGTTAATGAACAAAGTTCCATTTATTTTATTTTTAAAGGTGTGTTGGAAGGGGGGCAACGGGTTGAAGGGGGTATGTAACTGGAGAGGATTGTCAACATTAAGTGGGTAAAGAAACGGGGGCAGGTTCAGCTTCTCTTTAAACAAACGTAATAGTCACAGGTTACCCTGCTCACTGTGGAACCTAGCTTTCAAAGCCTCCCGGATGCACAGCGCGTCCCGCTGGGCTCTTCTAATTGTCCGGCTGTCTGGCTGGGCGTAATCAGCAGCCAGGCGATGTGCCTCAACCTCCCACCCCGCCATAAACGTCTCCCACAGACGTCTCCTTGCTCTCACAGAGATTGTGGAGCACACAGCAAGCTGCAATAACAATGGGGATATTGGTTTCGCTGAGATCACAGCGAGTCAGTAAGCTTCTCCATCTCCCCTTGAGACGTCCAAATGCATACTCCACCACCATTCTGCACTTGCTCAGTTGGTAGTTGAAGAGTTCTTTTTCACTGTCCAGGGTGCCTGTATAGGGCTTCATGAGCCAGGGCATTAGTGGGTAGGCTGGGTCCCCGAGGATCACTGTAGGCATCTCCACATCCCCAACAGTTATTTTGTGGTCTGGGAAGTAAATACCTTCCTGCAGCCGTCTAAACAGACCAGAGTTCCTGAAAACATGAGCGTCATGAACCTTGCCCGGCCACCCGACGTTGATGTTGGTAAAACGTCCCCTATGGTCCACCAGTGCTTGCAGCACCATTGAAAAGTAGCCCTTTCTGTTAATGTACTGGCTGGCCTGGTGCTCCAGTACCAGGATAGGGATGTGAGTTCCATCTATAGCCCCACCACAGTTTGGGAATCCCATCGCGGCGAAGCGATGATGACCTGCACGTTTCCCAGGGTCACTACCTTTGAGAGCAGTAGCTCAATGATTGCATTGGCTACTTGCATCACAGCAACCCCCATGGTAGATTTGCCCACGCCAAAGTGGTTCGCGACTGACCGGTAGCTGTCTGGCGTTGCAAGCTTCCAGAGGGCTATGGCCACTCGCTTCTGGACAGTCAGTGCTGCTTACATCCGGGTGTCCTTGCGCTTCAGGGCAGGGGACAGCAACTCACAAAGTTCCAGGAAAGTTCCCTTACGCATGCGAAAGTTTCGCAGCCACTGTGATTCATCCCAGACCTGCAGCACTATGCGGTCCCACCAGTCCGTGCTTGTTTCCCATGTCCAGAATCGCCATTCCACAGCATCAACACGACCCATTGCCACCATGATGTCCACAGCGCGGGGTCCTGTGCTTTGCGAGAGGTCTGTGCCACTCTCAGACTTAATGTCCTGACCGCGCTGCCGTAGCCTCCTCGACCGATTTCTCAGCATCTGCCTCTGAAAAAGGTGGATGATAAGGTGTGAGGTGTTGACAACGGCCATAACTGCAGCGATGGTCGCAGCGGGCTCCATGCTCACAGTGCTGTGCCATCTTCTCTGTCACTCACCAGAAAAGTGCGCGAACTGATTGCCCGCTGGCGCTTTCAGAGAAGGAGGGCGGGAGTGACGGTTGAATGACGACAGTTACCCAAAACCACCCTCGACACATTTATTTCCCCAGCAGGCATTGGGGGCTCGACCCAGAATTCCAATGGGCAGCGGGGACTGCGGGAACTGTGGGATAGCTGCCCACAGTGCACCGCTTCCAATGTCGACGCTTGCTCCGTTAGTGTGGACTCACAAAGTCGAATTACTGTTCTTAGTGTGGATACACACGTTCGACTTTGTAATATCGGTTCCACTAATTCGATTAAGTAAAATCGAACTACTCTCGTAGTGTAGACGTACCCTAAGCTTACCTTTTCTCGACCCTCATTGCACTCCCCCAGGTGAGTGGAGTAGGACAGCAACTGCTGGGAACCCAGAAGGTAGTTGATTCCATGTTTTGCTGGTTGTGGAATAAGCTATATCATCCCACATGGACCATTTCTTTGCCTGGTAGAGCTTTCCTGACTAAGGGAGAAAAAAAATAAACCAGATTTTTTTTGCCATCCAACAGACTTTGCAAAAAGTTTTCTTTTGTCCTGTTCATACAAAAATATTGTCTAGGTGTTCATGATCCTAGATGTGAAAGTTGTAAACAGATCCTTTACATTTAAATTCCTGTCTGCCAAGTCTGGCCACAACGATTCAGAGAACTGCTTTGTATTACCTTATATCATATGCAACAACACACACTATTTCATATATCTGTCAAATTAATTGTATTTTATTTATGTAACTTTGTCCGACATGTAAAGACGTTGGAATATCTCTGACTTCTCAGCATCTCAATATCTGATTACACTGTACAGACCTGATCATGTGTAGGGATCTTTCTGCTGTTTGAGTATCCCCCATTCTTGTATTCCTGTCTTCCTCATTGATTCTGCTGACTTTGCTGTTATTTCTGTCTGAGAAAGTAAATGAATTGAAAACATTCTTTACTAAGATGACCATTTCCAGGACAAATACAGGTGTTCACACACAGATATCCATATTCTCACCAAAAAAATGCTTCCCACCAGATTTGTGTGAATTAAAAATGGTTATACAAATATTTGTGGGAAAGCAAAACAAAGAATATGTTCTGACATGATCAAATCATGAATTGGATTTTGCAAAAATATTTGTGAATCCTTTTTCTTACTACATGTCCAGCTCTAGAAGCAAGTAATGCTGCAGTGGAGAAACACCACAGTAGTATTGGTAGCATTTTAAAGAGAAAAAGGATTCAACACAATGGGCAAGAAAGGAATTCAGCCTGCAACTCCCACTTGTAAACATGAGAAAGTAGTTCACTGAGATCTATGTGGATCATACCATATCATTGGCAGGTGTGCAGTTTTCCATGTGTTTACATTGCATGAATTTTCAAAGGAGCATTTGGGATGCTAGTTGCACTATTTATCTCATTTCCTGATAGTAGCATGGGATTGCAAATGTCCCATACCCACTAAATTATCAAATACATGAAGAAAATAAATCCAAATAACTATATTAACATAATATCAAGGGCATGATCCATCAATGGGATTATAAGAAAAATTTCAGGTTGCGGTTTTTTTTAGTTTTAACAAAAAAAGACATTCTTATCTGTTAAAATTCACAAGCTGATAAATAATATAGTTCTGTTGATAATTGACAAGCCTTCTATTGAAATTTGGCATTTCATAAATATCAAATTATGCTGTACCATATTGGAGTGAATTGTTCAGAAACACGGTTATATAAATGAATTCTCCAAAGAGAATTAATACTTGGCTCTTTTACAGAGCCTTTCATTTGAGTATCTCAAACGCTTTACAAATATTAACTAATACAATTGCACAGCATCCCTTCGTGATAGGTATAGAGTATGTAGAACAGATATCATTTCACCTACACTTAAGTGCAAGTACTTTGGAGACATACTGTGGTAGTTTTTCCTGATTAAAAAAGAAGAGTGAGGGAGGGATTTGTTATTATTTTTATTATTTGTATAGTGCCAGTGTCATGGACTTGGATCTCATTGTGCTAGAGGATGTACAAACACAATAAAAAAGACTGCCCCTGCCCCAAGGGGGCTTATGTATATACAATAGAATAGATTGAGCTGGAAGACAACACTCTACATCAGCACAGTACTCCATCATGCTACACTGACTAAAAGAGAAGAGTTTCTACTCTCCACTCACATGAAAAATCTAGATGTTCCTTGGAGGTAATGACTGATAAACAGTTTAACATTGATATTTTCTGTTTACTATATACTGAGGAAATTGAATAAAGCTATGTGAAGCTTAGGTACCTTACTTCATTATTATGTGTACTTGGATAGCTAAAATATTAAAATATCACCTTCAATAGTGAATTTATCTACATACACTAATTTCCATTCTATTATGCATACCCTATATTACTCCAGAAATTTGAATGCATTTACAAGACAATTTGTCTCCATAGCAACAGTTCTTTATTTTTGTAACAAAATAAATTGATGACATGTCATTGGTTATGTGTGCACACCAAAAAACAAAACAAAAAAACACACCCTTGAGGACGAGAAAGCTTATAATTTATCTGTAATGGTGGCACACAATACTTTCTACATAAACTGCACTGATCAAGTGCTGCAAAGATCATATTGATTTAAAAAATCTAATACTTATTATTTGAAGGGAGTATAGAGTCTGTTTGGAGCTTGACTATGCATTACTGTCCTCCACACATAGCTGTCACATGTTTCCTGGACTCCTGATTACAGGATCCGCATATCAACTAAATATTACACTTGCTTTTCTTACTAATTGTTTCAGACAACTCTACAAACTAGAGAGCTCTATAAATCCTCTTGGAAATGCACTTAATAAGTACTTCCTCCACATAAAACGGGGCAACAGTTGAACTTTAATAGGTGTATCAAAACTGGAGCCTAAATTGTACAATGATGGACACTTTACATGAGAAAAGGGAAGAATTGTTTTGTAGACATGGGCCACAAAAGTCACTTTGCCTTTATAAAACAACAGAGGGTCCTGTGGCACCTTTAAGACTAACAGAAGTATTGGGAGCATAAGCTTTCGTGGGTAAGAACCTCACTTCTTCAAATGCAAGTCTTGCTTCTCAAGAAGAGAGGTTCTTACCCACGAAAGCTTATGCTCCCAATACTTCTGTTAGTCTTAAAGGTGCCACAGGACCCTCTTTTGCTTTTTACAGATTCAGACTAACACGGCTACCCCTCTGATACTTTGCCTTTACAGTTTTAGGAGATTTTAGTAGATTAACTTTTTCACTGATATCATTTTCCTTCATATGAGGGTTTGGAGAGCAGGAACTGAACAGAGTTGAATTGGAAAATGCCAGTTCACCAAACCAGAAATTTGTCATGAAAGAAAGCTGGGTTTGATAAAATTTTGCTGAATGACAGGCAGGGTTCCAGCAGAAATCTGCCTCAAAAGATTCTGATGGAAACCTAGCTGGCAGGCAGATTTTTCTTACAAACCTTCCAGCTCTCCAGGTCAGCTGCTGGGGAGCCCATGATGTAGACTGCCCTGGTGCCGGGGACCGCAGTTTTCTATAGTCTGTGGATCTGAGCAGCCCATCATGTGAACTTCACTGGGATCGGAAACCCGATGCTTCCAGGGTTTCCTGGCTTTGTGCTGTGGAGTCAGAAGCTTGGAAGCCCAGGTATCTCCCAGGACTTCCAGGCTTCTTCTGGTAGAGCTGAGAATCTGGCAGTCCTGGAAGCCTTGGAAGACCAAGCTCGAGCTGGGGCTTTTAGGACTTTCAGGCTGCAAGGCTGCTGGCAGGAAGCCTGGGAATTCTGGGAGCCACAACTCTAGCTGGGGCTTGACTCCCAGCTCCATGGCAGGCAGTCTGGAAGCCCAAGGAGACCTGGCTCTAATGAGCCGTCTCAGAGTCTAGGCTTTCAGCTCCATAGCAGGGAGCCTGGAAATCCTGAGGTCTCTCAGGTTTTCCAGGCTTACTACCATGGAACTGGGAACCTGTAGGTCCCTGGAAGTGTTTCCACGAGGCCATAAAGACTGACCCAAGGCCAAGTCCCCCGGGGCTTCTAGACTCTCAGGCTAGCTAGTTACCTAGGCTACCCGACTCCCAAGGCAGTAGCAGCATAAAAACTGAAGAATGTCATTTTCACCAAACAGCTGCCAGTATCAGGGACCAAATTTAGTTTCAGAAGAACCATGTGTCAATATTTCCAAAACAAAACTTGTACCTCCCTTATAATATCCATCAAATGAAGAGCATCTCTATTGGGGAATATCAAGAGCTGTTCAAAAAAGTTCATATCTCAAAAGTTTTTCAATGAAAGATATTTTTTTACTACAACTTTCCAGAAAACATTTTCTCTTTTAGTATGAGATCTAGTGAGCAAAACTAATTGTGAGTACCCAACTATACCACTGTTATTTATGGGCACAAATAATGTTATTTAGTTGTCTAATTTGCACTTGAATTGGCCTTTGGACATTGGAGTTGATTCTGAGCTCCCTTACCCTAGTGTAAATCAGAAGTAACTCACATAGGTAATGGTTGCAGAACTAGGCTGAAGATGAAATATGCAGTGATACCTGGAATAAATATAAGTACACGTATATAATGGTTCTTAGTTTGTCCCAATAAAAATTACATAAGGACAACAAAGGTGACCAATTTATTACATGGTTCTCCATCCATTGTGACCATGCAGATATCTCTGTCTACTTGTAAATATTTCCTTTTAATGTAAAATATAAAATTATGTTTGAGTGACTCCCTTGAATATGAACCATAATATGAAGCAAGGCACAAGAAAAAATATATATTTGCACTGTACATTCGAATTTTAAAATAACATTTCCAATATAGAAGTTCAAAATTTCCCGTAGTCTATTATTCCAAAGCCCCAATTGTTTCTTCTTTGTGGCAGATGGTCAACAAAACCCATTAAAAAAACCCAACATGATAAAACTGCAGTCTATTCTGATCCTTGGAATCTTTACAACAGGATGGGTTCTAATCAGTGGGCTCTTAAAATGAAGTTCTTAAAGCTTCCAATTTATTAGATTTACCAGCAATGCAGATACTATGCAGTGCAGGTGGCTGATTACTCATTTCTTTATGTTTAGTTCCTTTATCATGACAATTGTCTTGAACAATAGTTGCAAATAATTTTCATTAGCTGTCTTCGGGCTTTGTTAGTTCACACATAAATATTGAACTCCAGGCACTCACTTAAATCCCCAACTCAAGGAAAGCCATGGATATATTAATAATTGTGACAAATTGCTAATGGTTAATAACAATTTTGTGAATAAATTCTTAATGAATTAGCCCTTTATTCTGTTTTTGAACCTCTTTTGAATTTATCCTGATTTATCTAAATGTTCTGTATCTGAAAAAAATGATTTATATGAACAACTTTCAAACTATGGGTTGTTTGAGAATTGATTACTTTTGCTAAGATTTTCAAAAATGGCTATCCAAGTTCGACTCCTAAATTCATACTGACTCCCTAAAATAGATGGTCTGAACTTTTGAAAGCCCTGTCTTTGACTATTTGTTATTTGTTATTCTTGGTATTATTGGTCATTTAGGTCACATGGTATTGTTTCTGATTTTTGTTTGAGTGACAGAAACTTTTAAATAGTTTAAGAAATGGCAAAATGTCAAATATTGAATAATATATAGAGAATACTTTTGTTCATGTGTACATATCCATATTTGCATGCAAATACATGTATTGGTATGAAGAATACCTATTTCTAAAATGTTCATGTCAATAGAAACACTGACAAGAATGATACAAAAAATCCATAAACATACTCAAAAAACTTCCTGAACAACACAAGGCCTGTGTTGATAGCAACTTTTTAAAAACCAGTCAATAGAATTTCAAAATACCTTGAATAAAGCAAATTAATTAAACTAATTT